GTCATTTTGAATTTGTTCTTGACCCAGTACATTGTAATCCAGAGTTGTTGAACGATCCTTTCCAATATCAGGGAGACTTTGGCTCCTGAATCGATACATGCTATTACTCCTGTGTTGTAGTCTGGCAAAACGACCCTTCTGATAGGTGAACACAATTGCATAGTTGATTCATCATCTATAGAAGTACATTTAGCAGACAACACAGAAACGGGACTGACTGTAGCAGGAGAATTGTCAGTCCCCTTTAAAAATCCACCCCAAACTTCTTCCTTTCCTCCTCAGTCACTTCGCTATTTCTGATATAAGCAACTTTGCTTCCATCCTCCCTGAGGACCATGCAAATACTGGGGGGCAGTTTGGCTTTGGATTTACAGTCACACTTGTAGTGACCTTTGGCTCCACAATTGAAGCACTTAATTTCTGAACTGGAATGTCTAATGTTCTGTTTGCATTTGTCGATGTCCATCACATCAGGATCTTGGGAACCTCCGCAGTAATGAATGAACTTTCTTTCATTCCGAGATTCCTTCCCTTCTAGGATATGCTTCGTCACAATCATGGTTTGAGCTTCTCCCATGCACTGTATCCACTCAATGACCGTGGAAGGGGTGCATCCAGAATTGAGAACCCAGTCGCGATATTCTTTATTTAATCCTTTTCCAAAGAAGGTCCCTGCTTCATGTGATTCTTCTTTAAGTTGAGCCTTGTTGACAAGCCCCATAAACTCGGCTATGTATGCCTTGAGTTCTCGTTTGCCTTGAGTGATGTCAGAAAGGCAGAGTATTGCAAGAGCAGTTTGGTTGCCTGACTCGAAAGTAGCTTTAAGATGCTCAACGAACCTTTGGAAGGTGTCAGTGTAGTAGATTGTCCCGTCGAGAAGCTTGTTTTCATTTTGGTAATTTTTGGCAAATGAAACTGCTGTGCCTTTTGTCATATAGGTGAGGGCGAACGAAATCTTGAGCGACTCCGTGTTATACACATGCTTGTTCAGGTTCAAGTAACCTTCGACCTGCATTACCCAGGTCTGAAGCCCATTGTGGCTTCCATCGTATTCTCCAGGACACCCGACATTAAACTCCTGTCCTCCGTTGGGTGGGCAGCAATTGTATGTGTCATCCAGGTCAGCTGAGGCCTTACCCTTACTGGACCCAGCAATGGGGACCTCTGGGGGAATTACCTTTCCAAAGTTCCTGGCATACCATTTGCATAATGCCAAGTCTGTAGGTGTTCCTGTTGGAAAGGGATTGCTACTCTGGGCAAGCATCACCTTGTGAAGCTCTTCTGCCATAGTGAGTCATTGTTCTTCCAACCTCTGTCTCAGCTCCTCTTCGGAAACGGTCCTTGTAGGCATTTCAGGAGCGGATTCTCCGTGACCAAGTGTCATGGACATATCGGGTGATTTGCATGCTTCTTGTTCTTCCCTGAGGACTGATCCATAAGAAGTGTCAGACTTCTGATCGTCTTCTTCTTCTGAACTAAGTGTGACTTCTGAATCCCTAAACCGGGATAGATAAGATAACCAGGGATTTGTTGCAGTAACCAAGGGTCCTAGTCTTCCTAGCAGAATGGGCAGTAGTGGGGGATTCCTACCACGCCCAAGGGGGTTTGGATGAGGAGGGACTGGTGGTCTCGATTTCTGAGGGTTAGACACTTTAACAGGAAGTGATAACGAAGGCTGAGGGAGGATTTATTTCTCAAAAGAAACCTGTCAGCACGGTAGAGTAACTGGTGTGCGTGAGTGGCTTTACGTGTAGGGAGACACAAGCATGGGCTCTAGGGAGGCGATCTATTAAAGCCTAGTAGCTGCCTGTAGAGTGGTGAATCTGGTTAAGGGTGGAGGAATGCTTCTCAATTTTGTTATGCTTGATTAGAGCAGTTGAGGAGCAGAGGAAAGCGAGTTAGTCTTTGCACTGAGGGAGACCAATGAGCTTTGTTTAGTGTGAGTGTTGGTTTGTTGAAGTTCAGTAACCAGGGACGAGTAGACTTTGCACGAAGAGGTCGACAAGTCCCAGAAAAGCTGCATGGAGTTTTTCAATTTTGTTATGCCCAAGTGTGGTGACTTCTTCAAATGGAATAGGCACGAAGCACACAAGGTGGGAGACTACGGGCTGAACTTGTCATAACCCCTATGGCTGAGTTATCATGATAATCCAACAGAGGTTCTGTCTACTGGCAAGTCCCTGAGGTTGTTTGTGCAGAGAGAGAACAAGGATAAAGTGAAGGGATGAAGCTCAGTTGCAAGCTATTGAAAAACTGCAGATACAGGACAAAGTACATAGGATTATATACTCCTAAGTATGAGTACCATAGCAGTCACAACCGATGCATCGCAACACATATCTGCAGTAGTCAACAGAACCATCAGTGAAAATAAACAAGAGTCATATGGTGTCAAAGATGGGGGTAGGGAGGCAACAATGGCTGTACTGGCTGGTGCAATCAATGTGCAGCAAGGAGCCTGACACTGGAACTATAGTACAACATGTGAGCAACATAAACGAGTCAAACAGAGCAAGAAAGAAACAAGTCATCCATCAGAGAGGGCGGTGGAGTACTGGATCACAGCAGCAACATGGTCTCGACAGGTATTGGAAATACCTTGATAGCAGGAGATCCAAAAGTTCCCTGGAGCATTTGAGCCCCTAGGACGGTGATGACTATTAGAGACGTGACGAGGCACATGACACATGTGACCGAGAGAAGCCAAAAAAGGAAAGACCCCTGATGGAAGCATAACAATTTTTGCTTTATACATGTCTTGTTATCCTAACTTTATAGGTTACTGGCCTGACCACAAGCAAGATATGGCATTCCTTGTAAGTAGTCCTGTCTTTTGGTTACAGCTACTGACATACCACCAGTAGCTCCTTGGTGATATATCTACCTGGCATTCAGAATTGAAGTCGGTTATGCTGGCAACCATGCCATCCATGTTCAACCTTATCCCTCCTTCTGATGTTGCACCATGGGTTTGTGTACAATGGATAGAGACCACTGCCACAAAGCTCCTTGACAACTTGCTTCTCCTGTGAGATGGTTTCAATGAGAATGCACATTCATGCAGTTCATTGTCTGCGCTACTAATGGATTGGTTTATCAGGGAAAAACCAGGAGTTTCGCTCACCCTGCCCTCAAGGAAGCTGTCATACAATTCTACTATACTGGGACCTATCAAATTGTGGATAAGTGTCCTGAGTCCTTCAACAATTCAGTTCCCCTTTCCTGTCTGGCTCTCATTGTAGCCACAGTGAGTTATTTTACACCCCAAGTCACTGCAACTCAAACTTTTCTTGCAGTATCATTGTGTGTTGGATGGATTTGTGAAGAATGGCACAGTAAAGACAATGCCTCAATTCTCCAGCAAGGCTTACAATTCCATTTTCCATGGCATGATGAAGGTGCTGAATGACATCCTTTGTGATCCCTATCATGGCACAAGGTTGCATGATCAGCTTTCTCAGTGGGCAAAGGAAGGATGTTAAGTACTGGGGCAGCCAACACGCTCGTGCTGGCTCCTCATATCAGGGCTGTACTGCAAGAGGTTGATTTGAATGTAGAGAGGTACCAGCACATTCTGGCAGTCCTTGATTGATTTCATAATACCTAGTCCTGTCAGTACCTGTCATTACACATGTAGTACATGATTGATGCCAATGCTCCTGTTCCTAGTCATACCTGCTGTGAACTGTTCCTAAGTTGTGGAGTGATCACATGTTTGCAAAGTAAACATTGAGATGGGGAGTACTGGACAACACCCCAAGGAGAATACAGTCTGGCCAGTTTTGTACAGTGATATCTAAGCATGAAAGTTCCATAGCAATCCATAGTAAGTAAGATACTGGACAAAGTTCCATGACAATGTGACCATTCCATAGTAACAGGCAACTAGCCATAGCAAAAAGTGTTGTTGGGTGCATCTGTCCAGCCTGGACCTAGCTAGGGGACTCTGTGTATTATGGAGCACTGTGGAGAGCTCCACAGCTCAAAGTGATTTACTGATGCATGCATGTGCCTTGGGCCTGTGTTACAGCCAAGGAGCAACAAGGATGCCACAGGGGCAGCAACCACCTCAAAGGTGAACCCAGCTGCCACATAACAAGCTACAGTAACTGTGTTGCACCCTGTGAAACACATGAAGCAACAGCAGAGAAGCATGTGGCAATTCCCTGTTGGGTGTGTCTCATCAACTTACCACTTTGACATATGGCATAGGCAATAGGGCCTGCTGTTGCTATGGGTACAGAGCTGAGAGCAAGGAGGCCAAGCAGCTTGAGGTTCATGGTGGTTTGGTGGAAGGGGCATTATGGTTCAAGGCTGCCTCTTTTATAGGATGAATTGCCACTGCAAGCAGGTGGGCAGGGAAGGTGTCACACATTTAGGTGGGCCCTGCTGGGCATCACACTGTCATGGCTCGGGTGGGATGACTTGGGAGGGTGCCAAGGAACTCTGTTCATGTCTTACATATGTTTATCTATGCTCTTAGCTAACAAAAAGTGGGAAATTTGCATCAGGATCACTTCCCACACCTGACCACCACTCATCTAGCAAATTTGGGCAGGTCTCTTTGCAGAATACCCATTTATTTCATGAATAATTACATGGCCAACATACAGTGTCTTTCAGTAGAATTGAATTGAGTACCAACAAACAGGCAAGGGTTGCATGCAGCCCGCAAGTCACCCAACTCTCACTTTCTCACATGCACAGTCAGCAGGCTACCCCGTGCATTTGCAGTGGCTATGAGCACAGCCACCTGCAAAGTTTCCGGAATAATATGATCCTGTTTCACCCATGCCTGCTCTCTACCAAAGGGCCCGTGTAGCGTGTTGTACGAAAACCCTTTCTCTTTCCTACCTCGAACAATACAGAAGTAACTGTCTGGAAACAGTGCAGCCTGCGATATCCTCGTTCTTGTCTGGATTGCCCTTTGCGCAGGTTTACCTGGAATCCATTCAATACATATAGAGGCTCCCTAAGCGTTAAACTATTGATCGCTGGCGTGGATGGAAATTCGAAGAAATTGTAAATTTGCCTTGGTTCCGAAACATGGTGCTTGTATTTTATACATCGCTCCTCTCTTTCATATTCAATCTTGGAAACATCCAACTAACTGCCTTTAACAGTGTATGTTGTAAACAAGAATTCTCTGCTCTTTCCAGGTGAAAATTGACCCGAAACTCGTGTTCCAAGGTCATCGTAAAGAAGGAAAATATTGGTACATATGGTGACAAAGCAGACACTGGGTATTACAATGAACAGCACAAATAAGAAACAAGCATAGAGTGACACAGTGAGGACAAGAAAACATGGGACCAACTGCTCAGAGGCTCTCTGGATTGATGATCACTCAGTTAGCCCCCACCTTGAAACATAACACACATACTCATTGACAGGGATAGAGCTAAGAGCTCAGGGAATCGGTGCCAGCAACGCGGTCGCGGCGCATGCTGCCATGCATGCACCTTGGGCTGCGTTACAGGCAAGGATCATCTGAGGTGCCGCAGGGGCAGCGACTGTGCCAAAGGTGAATCCGGACGCTGCGTAACAACCCACAGCAACCATGTTGCACCCTGTGCAACACATCAAGCAACAGTGAGGACGCATATAGTTCCGTGTTTGGTTTGTCCCAGCGACTCACCAGTTTGACATAGGGCGTAGGCAAAAGGGCCCGCCATTGCTACGGGTACGGAGCTGAGAGCAAGGAGACCAAGCAGCTTGAGGTTCATGGTGGTTTGGTGGAAGGTGCGTTATGGTTCAAGGCCGCTCCTTTATAGGATGAATTGCCGCCCATCGAGTCCTCTCCGCTAAATTAAACCTAAACTTCATACAGCAAGTTGAGAAGGGTCCTGGAGGGCTGGAGTATGCATGGTGATTCGATTACGCGAAGAAGCTTTTCCTACTATCACCTGCGAGGATGTGATGTGGTGAGTCGTCACAGACCGAATCACACGTATGTGTTCATGACTCTAAGGCCACAGGATATCAGGAGTTACCACGCAATGAGATCATTATCTAGAGCCATCAGAATCTTGTCCGCAATGCGCAGGAAGTGTGGATTGTCGTTACCTGGCAGGAATAATGAGCTCCAAACTAACAAAAAGGTGAAACGAGAATAATGAAATGGAAGGCGGCCAGATACGCTGACTGATAGCGACTGAGCGACAGCGAAGCGTTACCAAGTCTATTGTGTACTATGTATCTAGCTTATGCTCTTCGCAGATAGATCGTTTCAGTTACTCGGACTGACTGTTGCATTCAAAGTCGCATCCCTCGGCTTTCAGTTCCGAATGGCCCATCTTTTCGAGTTTCTCGTCAAAATCTCGGTTCCGATATCCAGACACGATGCGTGCTAGCAGATCGGACGTCGAGACGCCAGGTGTGCGGCGGGTAGGGAGGAATTTTCCTGAGAGGAAATGTAAGTGACTGCGGCTTCTTGGGAATCATAAAGTTGGATGTACCTTGCTGCTTTACGAATGCATACACGTCGTCGTGGCCTTCTGCGCCGTAGGGCTGCTCGTCGTGTGCGACATAATCGATTTTCCACTTCTCGAGAAATGCGGGATCAAGTATCCACGGTGCGTCAGCGACAACTTCGTCTACCCATCGGCAGTGACGAACAGCCTCGCATCTACGGGTTAGGTATGGATGAGACGGGACACGAAAAGGCAGGGAGGGTACGAACCGTTCGGTGTAGCTCATGACGCTGCGACATTTGTGGTGTCGGACATCTTCGTCGCTGCTAACGCCGACGAGCAGGTACACGTTTGGAAATGAGAGCTTTGCTTGTCTGAGCTGTAAGGCGTGGCTAACTCCGTCCTGATTAGTGTTCCGTGGCAAGTTGGGCGGCGAGGGTGGCCCTTACCCGAAGTGAAATAGATCATAAACGCCTAAAGGGCGTTGCGTTAAATACATCTACCGAGATCAGAACGAAACGAGTGGGTTACCGTCTGCGTAGATGCGAACTGGTCTGTCTGTTGGTGGTGGGTTGATGCGATAGAGTCGTCCGGGCTCGCCCTCGATGGCTCTCCTGACGAACGATTGGATGTCGTGAGGTGTGAGTGAGGCAGTATTGAAGGGGGCTGGCTCTTGTATCGATAGCTGGGGTACAGCTGAGTGCACCCTGCTGTCGTCGATCTGTGATGTCAGCGTCGACGTCGACGACGAATGGCGGAGGCCAGGATGCCCGTGATGGCCTGCCCTTGCGGTGATGGATGATTCGACATCGCCGTCGTATGTCTGTGAATCGATGCCGTCGTCGGAGAGCATGCTGGACGCGAGCTGGTGCCGGCCGCCAGCTCTTGCGGCGCCAGACTTGCTATGGAGGGGAGTGGGACGGTTGGAGCGTGCCGAGACGGGTGCAGACTTGGCCGATCCGCCGTCGTCTGTGAGCGGGTCATTGTCCTCTTCGGATCTAGATAGACAGATCGGGTGAGCCGAGCCAAGTCAAGCCAAAAGAATACTTGCGCGTCGTAGGTGGGTGAGTCGGTTGGGAGAGGATGTTTCCCGATCGACTTCCTCAGGGGCTGCGTCTTCCTGTGCTGTGTGTGCAGCAGATCGTCCATGGTGGGTGGGAAGAAGCGACAGGGGGCGGGCACGTGCCAAGCCAAGCCACCGGGTTAGGACCACCACGACGACGACCACGATGTCCGCGGATCTGCCCAAAACATGGATGGCGCTCGCCGTCGCACTCGTCCTCGGCGCTGTCTTCCACGGCCCACCCCGGCCATCCAGTCCGGACTACGCTGTGTGCTCGCCCACCGGCGGCATCCACACGGTAGACCCGGCCCACCCCACCGTACAGTGCATCCTCGTACGGGACACCCGGATTGCAGACGTCGGCAGCCTCGGTGCGTCGCTGTCGTTTGTGTGAGCCTGTCAACTGACACGACGTCAAGAGGATGTCAACGCCCGTTGGAACCAGCGAACTGGAGGGATCCTTGACTTTTGGAGGAGGCCGTCTCTCAACGTGTCGTTCATCGACCCCACCAGTGTAAGTCGTCCCTGGACTCGCTGGTACGTCCCCCAGTTCCGTCCGCTGGCGTTGGTCCACATCTTCGTAGATGCACACGCGCACGTTCTGGCTTACGGCTCATTGAAGCTCAATGTCGATCTCTCTGGTTGCACATCGAAACAAGGTGATGCGCCTGCTCCATGCACCTCAATCACTGACAGACTCAGAGGTACTCGAGAGACTCGTCGACTTCGTCAGAGCAAAACCCGATATCCTCAACAACCCGTCCAAATGGATACAAGGCATGGGCTGGGACCAGAACATTTGGGCAGTGCCAGAGTATCCTCATGCAGTAGGTGTCTGGCACTTGTTCTCGACTCGCACAGCAGCGCATACATATACTCACAATTTCTAGGACGATTTCGATGCTGAACCGCTTCTCAGAGGCAGGCGTATATACTTGGACCGTGTAGATGGTCACGCAGCGTGGGTATCCAGACGCGTGCTACAGCTTATGGGCGAGCTTCCAAACACTGTAGATGGCGGGGAAATCATTCGCGATGGTTCTGCTCACCCAACTGGTATATACATCCACGTACTTTATGCATATACCGCGATTCTTATGCGCGTCAGGCATTTTCGTGGACAACGCGATGTCCCTGATTCCACTTCCACCTCCGAGCGAGGCAGGCATGCAGCGCTATTTCGAGAGGACCGTCAAGGATGCCCTCGCCGTTGGATTGACCAGTATCCATGATGCCGCAACCGAACCTGACGCTATCGAGTTCTACAGGCAGTGAGTACTCTCATATAATCATAAAACCTGCTCATGCCTCGAAGATATGCAGAGTCCAAGAAACTCCCGGTGTGTATCTTATGAATGCCTATTTTCTTCATCCTTAGTCTTCATACCGTAGCTTCGTCTTTATCTCATGGGCCATTTGGATGCCATCGAGTATTGGGGTGACAAACTGCCTCGCCTGGTTGACTACGGTGTTGGGGAACGCCTCAACCTCCGCAGTGTCAAGCTGTTCACCGACGGTATGTCAACTCTTCTGAAATAGGGCACAGATTAATACCGGCTGTAGGTGCGCTTGGCTCTTTTGGAGCAGCCATGCTAGAGCCGGTATGTGCTTATTGTGCTTTTTTTTGCTGGTTATGTACGCTTGCACAGTACAGCGACAATCCATCCACGAATGGACTAATGCGAATCCAGGAAGACGTTCTCTCTAACCTCGTCCAGCGATTCCACGCCGACGGCTGGCAGGTGGTGAGTTTCAATGATTGTCTCCCCTGTGCCTTTGAGATTCAGTGTCCGCTATACGTAGAACGTCCACTGCATCGGCGACCGTGCCAACCGTGTTGTCCTCGATATTTTCGAAGACGTGTTCGCTGGTGCTAATATGTCGGAAGTAAGGCCGCGTATCGAGCATGCGCAGATCATGACTCTTGAAGATCTCGAGAGAGTGGGACGCCTGGGTGGTACGTATATTCATCTGCCTCAGATTCGGATTCCCGTAGTTTTTCAAAACGCTTGTGTTCGATAGTGATACCTAGTGTTCAGCCTACACACGCGTAAGTGTATACGGGGCACGTAAGGATAGTACTAAACTTTTCATTCAGGACCAGTGATATGTGGTATGCAGAACAGCGCTTGGTAAAGTCTTCTTTTTTCGTGGAATGAGCAGAACGTGACTTGTTGTAGGGTCCAGAACGTATCCGTGGGGCATATGCGTACCGCACGATGATTCAGTATGTTTTTTTTGTTTGCTTGGGACATGATGCCCGTTCGAGCCCACTCTCTAGGACGTCTCGAAACCAAGTTCTCCCTCTTGGCTCTGATTTTCCGGTGGAGGGTATTAACCCCCTATTGGGCTTTTATGCTGCAGTCGCTCGGCTCTCGGTTTCTGGACGGTCTCCACATGGCCCCCAAGGATGGTGTGTTGCCAGTTCGTTTGTCCAAGCAAATCTTTGAGTTCTATTTCCCCCGTCCACAGGTACCCCGAGCAGTGTTTGACGCGCTTCCAAGCCCTCAAGGGCATGACACTGGATGCGGCTTATGCTTCGTTTGCCGAGTCTATCACTGGGTCGCTCACCGTGGGTAAGAAAGCCGATTTCGTCGTCCTAGACCGGGACATTATGACAGTCCCGGCGTCGGAGATTCTGGGGACTAAGGTACTGGCGACCGTTATTGATGGAGAGGTAGTTCATGGAGGCTTTTGAGAGCGTTTTCTTTTCCCTCTCTCACATATCAGATACTAGAAGCTGGAACCTGGTCAGTGGGTTGCGTAACTGGGTACCAGGCTGTTCTTCCATCTGTGCTGGATGTATCTAGGGAGCTTATACCCGTGGGCGGTGGATTGTTTGCTCGCACTGCCCTTCCTTTGACCTGTATACCTTTGCATGTTTCCCATACTTTACCCTTTACCGTGTACATCCGCAACAGTGTCCTCTGCCTTTGTGATGCCGAAGTGCACGATATGACGTCCACAATAAGGTCTTCCCTTCATCCCTATGATGGTGGATGGTATGCCCAGGATTCTGGTATTGTGCGCAGAATCGCTTTGAACCGCAGAAGCATTGTTGGGAGAGAGTTCTGGATGTCAACCTAGATACAAAACTGGCCTTCTCATCGAGGAAAGGGAACAAACCTCTTCAGAGGCAATGAAAGCTTTTAGCTCCTCGAATGCACATCGATCCAACATACCTAACTGGATCAACTGTTACGAGCTCCACACCCGTCGGTGATCAGTTGTACAATGTGACGGATTCGTTCTTCTGCAGTTGGTACCATCCAAGACGTTTTTCCTGATACTGGTTGGCGTGGAATGGCGGCAGGCACAATCTCTGCATCACCATCCTGTGTAGTGAGGGAATCACCCCCACTGCGCTGATAGCGTAGCAGGCTACTGCAAATACGTGCTTAGATTACGAGCAACGTTCAAATAACCAGCGACGTCAATCATGTGATATCTGATCCGGTCGTCCGCTGTCTGACGTTTCGACGGGAGATTAAATTAGCTTGGTGATCTCATCAGCTCCGGGATTAAAAGCGGTCTTCCCGCGAGACGAACTTCAAACCTGGAGATGGAGTTGTGCGGGGGCGTGACTTTGGGGGAAAGAGGGAATTGAGAAGCTCGTTGTAGACGCCATGGTATACGTTTACACGTGGGTTCTGTGAAATAATATAAAACTGGCGAATGATTTCGGCTGCCACATGGTGGTTGATTGCAGAGACTGGTACTGAGACCGACTATGAAGCTGTGGCCATTCTACAGGGGCTATTTGGAACCGTTTAGGGTCCTAAACTGAGTTTGAAAAACTTTCCAAAATAGCGGAGGCTGGAGAATCGCACCCCCGAACCTCCCCGAATGAGCAAGTGCTTTCGGCGGAACGCCGACTTGTGCTGGGGTGTCTGTGCAGTGGCGTGTAGAGGCGGGATATCCACCATGTTAGGGTATTTGGATGTCGTCAGCGCATGCTTGTACTAGTAATAAGAAAGCGGAATTTCCTCCGTCCCAACAAAGAGTACACGTAGAACTGCACAATTGTTAGTTAACACAGGCCTCTAATTAAACAAGAAAAACCATTCATCCAGTAGAAAAAAAGTGAAAAAAAAAAAGATCTCAATTTTGGTCAGGAATTGGAGGAAACAACACCCATATTTTCAACCTGCCGCTTGCTCATCGCTGGCAGAGAGTTTTGCAGTGCTCTCTAATCCAGCCTTACTCACGCGACGCATAGGCTGTAGGGTGGCTTCGTCGACGGGTGCACGGCGGACGTGACGCCATCGACCCTCTGCATCCTTGATTTCCATGTCTTGTCCAACGCCTAGCCCTGCGTCAGCGTCATCTTCGGCTTCCTGGGAGGAAGACAACATGGGAGGAAGGCTCTCGCGAGCGTGCGGCAACCTGCGTCCAGGCTGTCCGTTTTGTTCGTCGTCTTCTGTACCGCCGCCGCCGGAAGTACCGGTAGGTCTTCCGCCGAGCTCGCGAGCTTCGAATGCCATTAATTCGGAAACGAATCCGATGTTGGGGGATACACCGCGACGGCGGTCCACGACGAACGCGTATGCGCGGGAGAGGGGCCAGCGGTGGGCGTGGATGAGGTATGCCATTACTGCTGCGACGCTCCGGGAACGACCAGCCTTGCAGTGCACGAATGTTGGTGCGTTGTAGAGTGCTGCTTCGTCTATTTTCACGTAAAGATGACTTCAGTGCCTTCATTTTAACGTGGGCGAGAGGGCGAAGAAGAAACGTACCCAAGGTCTCACATACGAGTCGTAAACAACCGCGGACTTTTTCTTCGTCCACGGTATCACGCATGGGTATGCGTACGTACCGCTCGAATTCGTGGTGTAGGTCCAGCCCATAGTCATCTGCGTCGCACTCTGCGGCGATGTTCAGGATACGACGGATACCGAGTTCTTTGAGTTCGGTCACGTGGTCAGGAACGGTGAGTTCGGGGCCGAGGTAGAGGAAGCCAGGGAGGATCGTGGAGACACTGAAGGAGGGGAGTTCTTCAGGAGCATCGGAGCCGGTGGAGGGAGCCCCCCCAGGAGGGGAAGGTCGTGAGGTGCCAGGTGAGCGTGGAGGGAGGAGTGGCATGGGAGTATCTGGGGTGAGGGGAGTGCGGGGAGGAGTAAGTGTATGTGCAGACTGTGTGAACACGGAGGGAGGTGGAGGGAGGAAGTCTGTGGGGCTCGTGGCCCACCGTGGCGATAAGGCAGGTGGTGTATGGTTCGAGTGCAGGAGGGTTAGATGTGAGGGTGACTGCGGAGGTACGGAGACGCGGGGACTCATGCAAGCGCTCGATTGGGTAGGTGTGATGGGCATCGTGGCAGACCGGGTTGGTTGGACACGGATTTGAAGACGGGGCAGGGTTAGGTGTTGGTCGCTCGGGTACGAAAGGTTTGGTGCGCTGGGACGTCTTGCAGGTAGTCCGGGGTAGTGGTGGTATATGCATTGGGAAGGAGACGAAGTGGGATCATCGGCACTGCGCGACTCGACAAAGGTGAGCGAGGAAGGAGTGGCCGTGTTGATTTGGAAAACGCCTTTTCCTTTTGCACTTTTCGATGACTGGTCCGTCAGAAACGTGGTTGTCAGGGGGAGGTGGTTGGAGGTCGATATGGGTAAAAAGTTTGGGGTGTTTCAGGGCTGCTGCCATCCCGCCTCTGAGATAGTGAACGCAGCCTGGGCCGAGAAGAGACGAGAGGAGGGGTAGGAGTGCCCATGCGGTGACCTGTAAATTATCCTTTTCCGATTCGTCAGTTTCGTCGCCATGTATGATGACGATGTCGCCGTCCCAGTGGTCTGCTGCAGAGAGTGTGTCCCACAAGTTGTTTGTCGTCTTCCGAGGTCATGAATTGACGGAGTGAGTTGAGGGAGTGGAAGCCACCACTGCTGCCTGGTTTTCTGTAACGTTTGAGTATGAGAGAGGGGATGGCGACGTTGACGCTGCCAGCGATACGACGGGCTTGGTATACGGCGTAGGGACGCGTATCGACGAGAATGGGATGCTTTGAAGCGGATAAGCTAAGACGGTCGGCGAGGATGGCTGGGTCCCATGCAGCAGCAGCCAGCACGGAAGGGGGAGGCGAGTGGGGACAGTTCTTGGCTGCTTGAAGAGGCGGAGTCCGAGGCAGAGGAGGGGGAAGCACAGCGCTGCTGCTGGACTGGCTCGACTGGGGTGTAGTACACGCTCGACGTTGCGCTGGACGAGCTGGGCGACCGCAGAGTACGAGCAGCTGGTGTTTTTGTTGTTTTGCCAGACGAATACGGTCGAGTCTGGCTCGGCAGCGAGCTGAACGATCGGATTGGCCGCAGACGGAGATTCTGCTGGACAGTCTTGCGTAGTTTGGCCAGATCTGCGAGGTCCTTTGAGAGGTCGTCTGTCTCGGGTGACTGGGACGAGTCGGACGAGCCCGAAGACGGCGACAGCTGCAGGACATCACAGTCGGCGTCGGCGTCGTCGTCGTCGGTGTCCTCCACTGCGATTGCCGGGTAGAACGCCCTTGCTGTGTCCGGTTTCAGCGTCAGATTGGCAGGCCGTCCCCGTCTCATCTCGTCTCGTCGTCGTCGTGTCGGTGGGACTGGGCGGGTGAGAGGGGTGGGCCGGCCCGGTCCGGCGGGGGAACATGGGAGGGGGGGTCGCGCCGGCGTGCCGTGGGGGGTCGTCTCGTTATTTTCGAGCGCCACTCTGTCCTTTCAATTCCGTGCCTTGACACTGCTACTACCACCTTGCCATGTCTTACAAGTCCTCTGCTTTTCGAAACCAAACGACTGCCTCAGAGCCAGCGGGGGGCAAGTACGGAGCTCAGACAAAACAGCTTCGAGAGATTTTCCCCGACTACTCTTCAGACGGTATGTGTTCAACCAGTTTTCCTCCCCCTGAACATTGGGAAACGCTCACAATTGACATGCCTTTCTTTCTTCCTTTTCTTCAGATCTTCATTCCATCTTAGCAGAAGTCGGTGGCGATCTTGACATTGCTGTTACTCGAATCACCGAAGGTACGCTCGCACCCTTCATCGCCCACAACATTTTTTTTCCTTCTCTTTTTTACGAACCAATGTCGACAGGTCATGCTGAGCAATGGGGCTCTGTGAAAAGCAAAAAGGACAAAAAGACGTCTACCGCAGCTCACTCGAAGGACCCTTCCGTCTCTCGTGACCGGACAGATTCTCGTGGCGGTCGTGGCGGTGGCAGTCGCGGTGGCCGCGGTGGTGCAACACGAGGAGGTTTCTCTCCGCGTGGCGGTCGTGGATCAGCTCGAGGTGGGCCTGGGGTTAACGGTCATTCACGCACCCCACGTCCACACACCCCGAAACCGTCCTCACCCGCTCCTGACACCACCGATAAGGATTGGACCTCTGCTACTGCTGCCGCTGACGTAGATCAATTTGCTGCACAAATCACGGAGACTCCAGTTGCTCCCATCGAGGAGCAAGGTTGGGCCGCTGGTGCTCAGATCTCTTGGGGTGTTTCGCAAGATACAGTCAATGCGACAGTAAAGCCCGCGACTTCTGGCCCTCCAAAACCCACAAAGCCAGGCGATTCTAAGCTCTCTTGGGCTCAAATAGCAAAGTCAGTCAGTTCATGCTCTGTCTGCATTTCCGTCTCAACTAGAATTGGATGGTTGTATCAGACCACAAGAGAAACCTCCCGTTCAGCCGCCTCCACCCGCTCCACCCGCTCCCTCTGCAATTGAGGTTACGGAAACCACACCGGCACCTCCACCGGACGTGATCGTCGAATCCACGCACGAAGGATGGGAAGAACCCACTACCGTTCAGCCTCCAGTTTGGGACGACGAACCACAGGTCAAACCACCGTCAGACGACGCCTGGACATCATCGTTACACCTACAACCAGAACCTCATCAAGAGGAGCTGTCTGTCCCAACATCCGAACCGGAACCCGTTCAATCGACCATACCACCTTGCGAAACCCCCCAGCTTCCTGAACAACCGGCCGTCGTCCCAACTCCTTCGAAGTCTCCATCACCCGTTCCGCTCCGATCGTCGATCCATCCCCACCGCAACGCCAGCAAGTACAAGACGACCGACCAAGCTGTCGTTATGCCTACGTCGAGTCTCGCATCTGGACTGGACAAGGTTGGCATGCAGTTCGGCAGTCTGAGCATTGGAGGTGACATTATCGAGTCTTCTCCGTACGTTGAATTTACGGTTACATTGACCCTTGAACCTGATGGAATGTTTATTCTACAGTATCGAACCTCCTGTGGAACCCACCCCACCCAAACCAAAAGAATCACCTCAACGACCAATCTCAGTTTTACCCCCTGTCCCCCAATCGCCACACGACATTGCACCAAGCACATCTCCGACTCAAACGACCACGACGCTTTCGCCCACAGTGAGCCAACAGGCGTCCGTTCCTCCCCCAGCTCCCGCTCCGGCACTTGCACCTGCACCCGCACCTGCCTCTGCTCCTGCTCCTGCCCCTGCCCCTGCCTCTGCACCCGCACCCGCACCCGCACCCGCCTCCCTGCCAGTTACCTCATCCGCTTCGACACAGCCTTCTCAGTCTCCTCTCACGACCTCTGTATCCCACGCATCGATATTGCCGTCTGTGGGTCAATCAGTGGTGAACACTAACCATACCTTACCGCAACATCAACCCCAGCCATCCACTCAACCACAACAGCCGCCATCTCAACAACCACTGCATTCTCTGGCCATTCCACATCAGCCCCAGCCCTCGGGACCTCTGTCACAACCGCTGCAGCAAGTTCCGACACAACATCAATTCTCGCATCATGGCTTCCCTGCGCATTTCTCTGACCCTGCCGTGCAGCAATCCGCCCAGACGGCTACGCAGATCCAGAGTACGCAGCAACAACCTCAGCAACAGGTATCCGCAACGTACTTCCGGCAGGCTGAGGCTCCTTACTTCCACACTCCAACGCCCCCTGCCAGTGGCCAAGAGTATGCGATAGGTGCCTTTGGTGGTCAGATCGGGCAACAACACCCTGGGCAAGCTTCACACCTCGGCAATTTCGGGAGTGGTGATTATGGATATGAGAGCGCAAGGGTAACGTAGCTGAATTGTGCCGTCTGCATTTTACTCAAGTATCTCACAGGGATTTTACGAATCATATGGTCAATCACCCGGTTTCAGCGGGGGTCGTAATGTCCTTGGCCATGATGATGTCAAGGGCCTTGCGGGCACCAACCAACTCCCCTCAGCCGGAGTCGGCGTGCTTCCACCTTCCTCCCAATCGACTCAGCTGCCACCACAAGGCTCGGTCGCACCGCAGCCATCGGCTGCTCAAGGTCCCCAGCAATCTTACCCACCGCCTACGATGCAGCCCTACTATTACCCATATGCTCAGAACCAATATTACGGCTCTCCCTACAATTCGGGTTATGGTGTTCCACAACCGTTCGTCAAATATCCTGCCATGTACCAACCACCTCCTGCTCAAAGCACTGGTACGGGCAAGCAAACTGGGGTACAACAAGATCACTACGCCCGCGGACCTTACGGCAACCAGCATCAACACCAACCATATGACGAACTGTACCAACATCAGCAACACCACGCCCAGGGTGGCCTGACTGGGGATTACAAACACCCACAGTTGTACAGCAACCAAGGGATCCAAGGTTTTATGGGACTCGGCCAAGGTGGCAACGCCCCGTCTGCGCAGACACTTGGGCAACGTGCTGGTGGTGGTTCTCCCGAAGCGCCATACAAGCCGTATTCGCAAAATGTGGGGGCAAAGGATGGTACACCCGGCGTCGGTGTGGGCGGTGTTGGTCAAAGCCAAGGCGGACGTGGCGGTGGTCAACAGAGTCATGGCCAAGGCTTTTATGGTGCTAACCGATTCGGGTCGTCCGCCGGTGCTGGTGCCCCTCACGGCCAACACCAGCCAGGTGGACAGCAGGGTAGTGGTCCACAGGGACATATGAATGTTGGCTACCCGCAAGGTAATTCCGATGGCAACTTTTATCAGTACCGCCAGCAGGGGGGTTACTGGCAGTGATTGATTGATTAGTGCTTTATACTACGTCATATTTCCACGCATTGTTGGGTTGTCTCGATCGACGTGCTCACTCGTACTCATCTGCTCTTAGCTAGTTGTCTACTCATACCTGTAATGCAACGATATACATTGCATTGTACCTTTAGCATTCAGTTTAGTTCGTCTCGCCGTGGAGAGATATTCAACGAAATGAAGGCATATGTTAAGAATTAAGCAAAGTCTACGCCAGAGAGCCACTGGTCGTAATCGTACATACTTGAGAGTGTGCTACTATCCTCTAGAGAGCCAGCGTCCAGGGCAGTAGATCGGACATGGGCTATGTACGATTCCAAAGCTCCGTCGGCAAGTGCTAGATCACCCCTTCCTGAACTCTTCTCAACAAATCTCATGTAGTGCAATTGGTCCATGTATTCTGCTTCGTCATGCATTGCATCTAGCATCAGTTGAGAGTGGTCGATATATCTGAGCGGCGTCAATAGGTTGTTCCCCCACCAGGGCTCTGTTGGCGTACCTATGGTATTCGGAAAGCTCTTCTGAGGGAACCTTCGGGTCAAGAAGATGTGACGCAAAGACTCCGCTGGACTGAGGTAGATCGTTCTTATGCAATAGCTGGGATTTGTCTGCTGTATCCGCAGGCAATGCTTTCCTTCGTAGCTTCTCATTGTGCGACGAAGGATGCGTGCCCATCCAACGCTTGACGCCTGTTACGAGCCTATGTACGTCGGGTTATAGCGGACATCACCATTGCAAGAATGAGGGACAGAACCTGGGTTGGTGTACGACATGCATGCTACTTGGCAAGAAAGGGCTGTATGACACTCCCTTGATGAACTTCCTTCGTCGTACACACGTGAGATTCGGTTGGTGCGGATCATCGAAACTCGATTTCTCACCCTGGTGGCGTACTCATGCAGCACGCGAAATGCTTTTCGAGCGAAGTGAACAATAAGGGCCGATAGTACTCCGACCAGAAGTCACCTCGCTGTTCGACAAAGTCGCTCAGAGATTTGGTAGATTCATCCAGAGGATACAGGGTCCTCAGGTTTCCAGTGTCAAACCATTCTTGGTATTTTCCCCTTGCTCGAATTGCTTGTGAGTGGCGTTCACCTTGAACGCCGAGGAAAAGGTTAATGGCCATTTGTTTATCAGCATCTAAAGGTGTTGTAGTTAGCACACCCGAAATCTGCGCATTGGAAATGTTTCTGACCGAGTAGAGAGTTTGCATAAAAGCGCCGTATGTTTTCAATGATGTCACGCGAATGACTATTCCAGTGCGGTAGTCGCCGATAGGTTTCAACCCTGTTAACAAGTGCGCTGCCCGTGTACTGCAAAGCAATTGCTTGATGGACATGTTAATCATGGCATGGATCAGATTGCCCGCTCACTATCTCCATGGTCATGATACATCTCGGTCAACATATTGACAGCAACGGAATCGAATGGAAGGTTTGGGTTTCTGACCACGCCAAGCGCATACAACTGGTGCCCAAAAGCTCGCTTTCCGAATACGAACTGTGCAGCATTCGTGCGATCCAAGCAGTCGACGCAGTTGGTACGACATATACCGTTTTGGAGCAGAATGTCGTTGCGCCCAGCGGGACGATGTTGTTCATCCTCCCTGAGCAGCAAGACGAGAATATCAGCAGACGGCAGGGAACACGGAAATGGAAAAGGCCTCACGACCAACAGTTCTGAAGATGGTGGGAATAGGGTTCGGAGCCCGTATGGAAGAAACCTGTCATTTGTATCGATTCCTCAGCCAGGTCTTCTAGGTAGCTAATGACGTCTTGCGTCTTCCTGTGATGGCATTAATACCAGCAAATATGCTGTTGGTAAAGAACGAACTCCTTATATGCACGGGACATGTCCCAAGCACGATATACCATCTTCTTGCCTTCCGGGAGAAATTGGTTCAGATAACGCACGCATTGAGTGTACTCGTCCAATAATTTGGACTCTCTTGGAACTGGTTCTCGTCTCTTTATCAGGTTGAGGATGATGATTGGGGTACCGTAACGCGCAAAAAGGTTATTGAAGTGGCGGGATGCCGCGGTATAGAAGGGGTCGACAACGCTAACTAGTGGATATCAGTAACAAATTCGCGGGTGCTCAACAGCGCACTCACTCTCTATTGGCGGCCGAGGACTCATGCTAGTCATGTCTTGGGTCCAGTATATAGGGATGCTCCCGCGATACTACGGTGACAGTGATGAGGAAGTACAAAACAAGAAAAGAATTTGTGTACCTGTACATAACTTGTGTAGTGTGGGCTAGGTTGCCGTCGTGATGGATGTTCAGATGACGGGACATAGAATGGCGTTGTCAGTGCCTCCGAAACTATCTGCTCCGTCTCAACTTCGTTCGCGACGTTGCCCTGTTTTATATATTAAAATGGAGAAAAACGCGAACAGGTGAGGTATGTATACCTCTTCATTGACGCCTCGGGTAAGGTATCGGGCCCCGGCATAGTGGCGAGACCGACGAGCGATCAGAGTCACAAAGACGACGCGGCTAAGTATGTTGAGTTCTAGCGTCGGGGTGCATTGTTATCTCGCGTTTCGGTCGCTCCGCAGACGTATGGCTTACTTGCTTGATCTACATGACCATGTATGAGGGGGATGAGCCATGCTTGTCCGCCTCGAGGAGATTGGTCATTGAAAGGAAGGGACAGCATGTGGAAATTCCAAACGTAACGGTCGTTGAACCACCACTTCGATTTCTCGAAGCGGTTTGGTTTCGTGAGATTCAGCTGCAACGTAGAGGTGACATCATACGAATAGCTTTCACATAGATGAGAACACAAGAAGGAAAGGGGGATATATTATACCTGAAGTAAAAGTTTTTGGACATGTCCACTTGCTTGAAGACGCTGAGTAGACGCTGTTCTTCCGTCGGTTTGTCCACCTTGTTGTTGAAGCATACGGGTATAATTTCTGTGCTCTCGCAGTGGTAGAGATAATGTCCGCCGAGCAGGGCAACAGATGAACGTTTGGATATGACGATCATATACCAACCGGCTGTAAATTTGACGAACCCTATTCCGCATGAACGTGAGGTGTTGGTCGGCGGTATGATGGAGGTAGCCATACCCGCAACGCCAAAGATGATCCTCGCCTTTCCAATGCCACCAGACGCCCTGTTTCCGTCGTCCAACATCTTAATCATAGCGCTCATTTGCCTTCCACTGTAGTCAGTTTCGTCCTCGATGACATTCAGGTCGTTCTGGGAGGTCCTGTCAATTTTCACAATACGGTGTCTCGAATCAGACGCGTTGGATATGATGATATAGAAGCGCAATTTATTCTCGTAGAGGATGAATTTGTTGAACGCGGAATGCTTAGGCGGGGTGCTGCAGCGGGTTGCATGATGAGTGAGCTTGTCTGTAATGGACACGGACTCAAAGGGAACGTCTGGGTTCGCTGAAGATAGTCGTGTCTGCGAACAGTCCTGGACGGCAGCAGCCTGGTTCTTCTCCACCAGTGCCATGTATCACGAAGAGCTAACGAAGAGGATACAGCCTTATGACGCACTGTCCTGCTTATGTCATCAATTGCCCCTGTCACGAGTAGTGAACATTCACTGAATGCTTAACACTTCCAGCTCATGTCATTGTCTTGTAGGCTTGTTCACTGTAATAAGTAGGCTGTATGATAGGCTTAGACTGTGGAACGAGCGTGCACCTAATTTATGATATCCGTACACTGGTGGTAGGAGCCTCTAGTTGCTTAGTAATCAATCAGCGTGCCAGGGCAGAAATTTACATTTTACAGAGCAAGTATTGACCTCAACGGTACTCAGTGTGTGAGTGTGACCATGCTACGCACAGTGTAAGTGATTGCAACAGGTTAGGTCAATGCACGTCCTCATTCCCATCACACAGGAAGCCGAAAAATGCGCGCTCAAAGAGGGCACTCGAGGCTCGCGAGCCCAAGGAAGTGGAGGATCAACGCAAGGCGATATTTGTTCATGGAATGAAGACTGGAGAAGTAGTAGACAGACTTATGAAAGAGCTGGTACGTTTTTTGTACCCGATTTCTTGGTTAGCGAGGATCTCGTCTGAGCAGTCATGTTAGATGGCACTCAAGCAACCCCATGCAATCTCATTTTCACAAAAAAATGCCATTCGACCGTTTGAGGATGCATCCTCACTCGAGTTTTGGGCTCACAAGAACGATGCATCTATGTTCATGATCGGTCAGTCAACAAAAAAGAGGCCAGCTGGCATTGTTATCGCGCGGACGTTCGACTCAAAATTATTGGACATGTGCGAACTCGGCGTAGAAAGATTCGTGAGTTTATCTGAATTCAAGGTTCGTTTCCTACTTCATGTGTTTTCTGGCAATGTTATGACGTCTTATGCTCGTCATAGACACCAAAATCAACGCCAGGACACAAACCAATGCTTCATTTCGCGTCCGAGCTCTTCGATACCCACCCGCGGTATATGCAACTGAAATCTCTCCTTATGGATCTTTTCAACGGCGAAGTTATTGATTCGATATGTCTTCCTGGGCTGGAACACGTCATTAGCATCACTGTCGCACCTTCAAAAGCATCACAGACGAGCTCCGCTCTCTCTGATGGTACAACACATGAAGATTCTAAAAATCTGCCAAACGTGCATCTACGGACGTACACCGTGAAACTCACGCCCTCTGGAGCGCGGGTACCCCGAGTCCAGCTCACGGAGATGGGCCCTTTTGTTGATTTCTCGCTCCGTCGACACCAAGAAGCGGATCCGGATATGTTGAAAGCGGCCCTGAAGAGACCCAAGTTGAAGAAACAAGATATCGAAAAAGGACTGGGGAAAAAGAAAAAGAATTTGGAGGTCGACGAGATGGGCGACTTGAGGGGGCGTATCCATGTTGCAAAACAAGATCTCAACAAGTTACAGACGCGAAAGATGAAAGGACTAAAAGAAAAATCCGGCGAAGGGGATGGAGATGTGAGCATGAGTACGGATGAATCGGAAGTCGAGGATGCCTCGCCGCCGAAGAGACAAAAAAGAGCTTGAGGATTTGCCCTTGGTTTATGATACTGTACAGGTGTCGCTCAAGTGTATTGCATTCGAGCGCATGAAGGTACAATATAACAGTAAATTTACTTCCCAGCCGCGTGGTAATCCCGCGAGAGGTCTATTTCTCCCTTCAGATGGGTATTCGTGATCCTTACCTGTCTCTGCCTGGGGGCAGAACGCTTTCCCTTTTTCTTAAGGTTAGAAGGCGCCTTGGGGGCAGGCGCTTCTGATGCGGTAGCCTGAAGACCCTCTGCGAGAGGATCCGTAGCACAGATGGATAGACATATATGAGGAACGTACCTGATGTCAATGCCTTTAACAAATCGACATCGTTGGGCACCTTGAGTTGATGCCACAGGTCCAGGAACTCTACCAGGTAGTGTTATAAGCCACGAGTGACGAGAGCGTGTTGCGGTTTAATCCACCTTTTTCTACCTGCTTTCCACCACTCTCCTCGTCGGGTTTGATCTCATTCCAGAACACCATCCGAAGTTGGCCGTCCTTGACAGTGCGAGTGACAAGAACCTCGCCTTCCTTCTCGAGTTCCTCTATCGCTTGGGGGGCTTCTTTCCAGGGTTCCTTTAGAGCGCGAACTGCGATACCGCCACCTTTGCGCGTCTGACGTTGAATTTCAGTCAACAAGGTGGCCTTGTCGCGAAAGTTGAAATCGTGCTTTGGAAAAGTTGACGAGAAGTTGTGACGCAAAGCAGGTAATGACGCATACTCGGTATGAATAAAGACCGGTCTTTGGGTCATGCTGGACACGGTCATGCGACTTGAACTTTTCGAGAAGAACCATGTCTGTTTCGAGAGGAGTGTTCGTCACAATGGAAATGTCTTGTAAACGCATCGGATTTGATGTAGACTGTATGTTAACTGCATTGCAACGTATGATCGTGAACAGAGGACTCGAGACGTTACTTTAAGATAGTCCAGGGCGTAAACGAGCTGCGTATTGACATTGTTACCCGTTCCAGTGTCGGCTGGCTGGGAGTATACAACATCTAAACTCGAGTCAGTCAGTATTCCAGCACGACAACACGACCGTCCGACTTTTCTTGGGGGGCTTCGCAGCGGACATAGTGGTATAGCAAGAGGCCCTGTGGCTGACTAAGCGAATCTCGCTGTGGTCTTCGGTTAGCTGTGGCGAGACTAGGCTCGACACTCATACGATGGCCTATTTTTCGAGGCCCCAGTCAAGTTCAGCTGTGAGGATCGCACAGCCAACTGACAGCGACGACAAGACAAAGTCACCACAAAAGAAGGGTGCGTAGCAGTCCGGGAGACGCGCAGGTGTCCGTCTATTTCTCATTTGCACAGATTCCCCCCAGCGACAATGTAGGAATATACTGATTTACGGGTCCGTATTTCCTTGACCGATTATATCTAGCGCTCATAATCTCCTGCCAGTTCATGCCGATTTCAAAATAAGGGCTGTATCTATTATCATCCACCGGTATGAAATCATCGATAGCTTCATCGGACATCGCCCTAATGTAGACCAGCCCAGTAGCACCTCAACTGATGTGTAGGTTGTATTTCCCCGATCTCTCCATTTTATCTGACGCACTCTGAAGAGCACCCGAGGCACCGGCCCCACCCTCGCTGTCGGCTCAGGCTGTCAATGCTCCTGTATTTGTGCCTAGAACATCTCTCGATGTTGTTCCGACTGCTCCTTCCGCAGCAATCACTACCGTTCACTCCTTCGTAAATACCATCCCTGCAAGTCCTTGTTGAGTTAACTGACTAAACCAAGTGATTCGCTCACCCCTTATTACACTTCCCAGGAGGTCGATTACGAAGACCCTTCTCTGAGCACATATTTTGGGACAGCTCAATCAACCTTTCTAAGACAGCCAGTGAGTTTATTTGGCCTCTTCAGATGACATGTCCAAAGTTCTTGTCCTCGAGCTCGACTATCATCTCTACAGCCATCCAATCCCTGATAGGTTTGCACCTGCGCACTTCATCTCCGACAATCTTCGGGAAGAACTGCAAAAGCGTTCCGAAGCAGTTCACACCATTCCCTCCATCCCATATCATGTTCCTGAGGAGCTCCAAGGGTACCACTCCCTGATCCCTCTTGAACCAATAACACCCGAACGACGAAAGCTTGTTAGTTGGTATTCGACTGTGTACCGAGCGACGAGCATCAACGACGGCGCCGCTTACGTCCTACGTCGCATCGAAAGTGTGCCGCTTGTACTCTCGTCTCGACGAAAGATCTGCTGACGTATGTAGACTTCAGGCTGACACATCATGCTGCGTTCGGCATGATCGAATCGTGGTCGCGTATACGACATCCGAACATTGTCCGTATTCGGGAGGCCTTCACAACGCGTGCATTCAACGATAGCTGTCGGTTTCATCGTCTAGTTTGGGAATTTCGTCGGTTCATGTTCCATTGTAGCTCTCGTCGTGTGTTATGACTATCATCCAAACTCGCAAAGTCTTATGGAGTTGTACTTTCGATCCTTGTCACCAAGTGCTTTACATGGCCAACTGTCCGCCGCGTCCATGAACCGCATACCGGAGGCTACCCTCTGGACCTACATTATCCAGATTGCAAATGCTATCCGGGTAGCGCACGAAGCGGGTTTGGCAATTCGTATGATCGACCCGGCGAAGATATTACTGACCGGAAAGAACAGGTGCGTGTTGTATGTTTGAACGGGTGAGAATAACTACCTGACTGCCAACCAACTATTCAGGCTACGCATCAACGCCTGCGGCATCGTCGACGTGTTGCTGTATGATACGCGGCAGGACACTGGGCTTGCACAACAGGAGGATCTTGTCATGTTCGGTCGGCTAGTGATCGCATTGTGTTGCAGCAGTATTACAGCTTTGAACACATTGCCAAAGGCGCTGGAGGTCATGGGCAGAATGTACTCGGCTGAGATCAAAACCCTAGCGTTGTATTTGATTTCGAAACCAGGTCCTCACAAGGTTAGATTTACTGCTATCGGGGAATTTGCTGCTCGTGAATTTGTACTGCAGACCATTGCGCAGATCATGGAGTTGATCGGTACCAATCGTTTGGTGCGCGAGATGGATGAGATGCAAACGTAAGTCCAAGTTAGAATACCGTGCACGGTCTGTATTCATGTTTCCCCAGTGCCAACGACCGACTTGAAGCGGAGCTCATGAGCGAACTCGAGAATGGCCGACTTGTTCGGTTGCTATGCAAGTTCGGGTTCATCAATGAAAGGCCAGAGTATGTGTGCCGAGCAGCCGTTCTCGCAAGTAGGACTGATCTTGGGCTAGGTTCGCTCGAGAGCCTCGCTGGTCAGAGACGGGTGACCGGTACATAATAAAACTCTTCCGTGACTACGTCTTCCACAAAGTGGACGAGAACGGAAGCCCAGTAGTCGACTTATCTCACGTACTAACCTGTTTAAACAAGGTAGGTGTTAAGTGTATTGCGAATTCTCGGGCTACAGCGTGGATTCCAGCTGGATTGTGGGTCCGACGAGCGCGTAATGCTCGTTTCTCGGGATGAGCAGAGTTGTCTTGTGGTTTCTTTCAAGGAGGTGAAAGCGTGTATCGAGTCGGCATTCAGGTTTGTCTCCTCTGTATCGGTGCAAAGGTGATTCCTCATGACTTTGTTCGTCGACAGCGATCTGTCTCGGGCGTCTCGGTAGTGATCCTAAGTACATACGTTGGTATAATTTCGAAAAACACGCGTAAAATATAGAAAATCGTGCTTGATAGCTCGGGGCAGTGGTAGTTGGCTGTCATGTGATTTACGGCAGAGAGCGCTTGTTACTGTCGTTCCTCTCCGAGCTCGTTCGCTTCGACCACAGACAGCAAAAAAAATGAGCGGCCAATACGACGTCCTCATCGTCGGCGCGGGCATTGCAGGCTCCGCACTCGCCCACGCTCTGTCCACGATCACTTCGAAGCTGCGAGCCTCGCCCCTCCGCATCGCATTGCTCGAGCGTTCGCTTGCCGAGCCAGACCGCATCGTGGGCGAACTCCTTCAGCCTGGGGGTGTAGCAGCGCTCCAGAAGCTCGGACTTGAATCGTGTCTTGAAGGCATAGATGCCATACCCGAGCATGGTTACTGCGTCGTTCAGTCTGGTCAGATTGTACACATACCTTACCCAGACGGCAGGCGGGGTTGCAGTTTCCACCATGGCCGGTTTGTCATGGCGCTTCGACAGCGTGCCAAGCGGGCGCCGGGAGTGGACGTCGTCGAGGCAACTGTGAACGAGCTCATCGAGTGCCAGCACACCAAGCGGGTCCTTGGCGTCCGTGCAACCCGGCCGAATTCCGTTGAGAAGGAGTCCTATTTCGCGGACCTTGTCATTATTGCAGACGGATGCTTCTCTAATTTCAGGAATGCTGTCATGGGAAAGGCTCTCAGGGAGTCTACGACAAGAAGTCATTTTTGCGGAGTCATTCTCAAGGATACCCAGTTGCCAATGCCCCAACACGGCACCGTTGCCCTCGCGAGAGGTCACGGACCGGTGCTAATGTACCAGATTTCGGAGCACGATACCCGTATGCTCGTAGCCGTCAAGCATCCCGTTCCACACGATCTCAAGGTATACATCGCGCTTTCTCATATAATTGACGTCGTGTTGACATTCAGATACAAGGGACATATTCTCAAAGATGTCGTCCCGCACCTCCCGGCGTCACTCCATGTAGCCGTCCATGAGGCGCTAGACAAGGATCGCATCAGACGCATGCCCAATTCTTTTCTTCCTGCCGTGGAACAAGGTGGTAAGTACACCAGAGAAGGTGCAATCCTCATCGGCGACTCGTGGAATATGCGTCACCCTCTCACTGGCGGCGGCATGACTGTTGCATTGCATGATGTCGTCATCTTATCGAAGCTACTCGCCAAGGCCGACTTTCGAAACTGGGACCAGATGTCGAATTTACTGAGTAGTTGGTACTGGTCACGCAAACCGCTTTCCTCCACGGTCAACATACTCAGCTTCGCATTGTACGACTTATTCGGTGCCGATGGTTATTCCCTTCCGTTAAGAGAGTTATTTTGAGTTACTAATGCAGGCATAATTGCAGATGAAAACCTTGCTGTCTTACAGAGGGGTTGCTTCAAGTATTTTGAGCGCGGTGGTGAATGTGTCCGTGGTCCCGTCTCCCTCCTTGCAGGGTATGTCTCTACGTACTGCGGTTGTTTTCCCCCCCAACTGACTCCGATCCAGAATCGCCCCTTCGCCTACTCTCCTTGCCTACCACTTCTTCGCTGTTGCATTCTATTCCATCTGGGTCATGTTTGTCCACCCGCGACCGGCGGTTAATGAGTCGAATTCTGATAAGCCGCTCATGTTGTCCCCGCACATATGGGAGTACCCTGGCTTAGTAGTCAAGAGTGTAACAGTCGTGAGTGGAATAGTTCTGTTTGCAAGTCTGCGCTAATAGACCTTTTGCGGGACGCGGCACATTCATCATATTAGTTGTGGACCGCGTGCGTTGTGTTTGGACCGCTCCTCTGGTCAGAGATACGATGGTGGTGAAACGATTGGGTGGACCCACATTGACTTTGCTCACGCGACGTTTGTATAGCGATGTAGCGTATGTATCGTATGGGGATCCAATGCTATTACTTAGACTTAGAACATGCTGGGTAATCGATACTGCTGGTGTGAACTTGGTCCAGATATTCTTTGACCGGCTGTGTTCTGTCCCGACCGCCTCTTTCACCCATGGCGATATCATCCACCCAACGACTGCCTGTCCTCCCGCTCCCCTTCCCGGTAGTTCTCTTGCCAACGGCCAGGCTGACAATTCCTATTAGCCGTGAGCTAGCAGAAAGGTTACAGGCCGTCCTACATGACTCCGACTCCAATCAGCCAAGAGTCGTAGCTACCGTTCCAGTTCCTCCTCCTCCTGACCCCTCGAATGTCTCCAGTTACCCTCCACCTCTTAATGGTACCGGTCCAGTTCATGGCACTGCCGCACGTATCGTGCATTTAGTTCCCGTGCGCACGCTCTCTGCTTCTGTTTCTCCTCACCAGCCATACGTCCTTTCACTCCATGGCTTGACCCGCATTCGTCTCGCACAACCCCTCGATCTAGACTCCCAAGTGGCTGACTTTCTTTCTGAACGTACTGTCCATCATCCACCAGCCGACCAAACACCATCTCGTGGGGCAGTAGAAACCTTTAAAGACGCCGCGTTGAGGCTGCTCGACCGTCTAGCGAAAGATTCCGTGCAATCTCAGCGTAAAGATGATTGGCTCAGGGTCTCCGTAATGGTAGAGGATGTTCCAGACCATCGTTCGGCATGGATGGCAGACGTGCTAGTTGCTGCTATTAACTGTGCCTACGCCGATAAACTTGGTACGTGATAATGATTTTGCGAACATCATAGTCAACTCATGGACCACTAAGCTTTTCTAGCGGCTACTACTGTCGAGGATCGTCTCCGCCACGCCACCGAACTGTTTGTTAAACAAACTTCCATATCCGAAGTGTCGCAGAAGATTGCGAATGCGGTCGACGAGTCGCTATCTCGTCAGCAGAAGGAATATTTCTTACGACAACAACTGGCAGCCATTCAACGGGAGCTTCAAATTCTACATACCACCAATAATGCAGGCTCTGGCGTCCCATCTGGAAGTCCTAGTCTCAAGACTGGAGGTCCCGGTAATGAAGTGGATGACGACGACCAAGCAGACGCAGATGACCTTACTGATTTGAAAAAGAAGATCGAAGCCCTTGAAGCGGGTAGTGAGGAACGCAAGCTTGGTGTTCGAGAGTGGAGGAGACTAAAGCGTATTCCGCAAGGCAGTGTCGAGAGTGGTGTGATTAGAACATACGTGAGTTGTTATCGATGATTCACGGGGGCCGACGCTGAACCATCGGTGCAGCTTGAGTGGTTGGCAAGCCTACCTTGGCCCTCCGCGGCGTTGTCATCGTCTGTGGATCAAGAGATAATCAAAGAGTCTGGGTTCCTTGCCAAGGCTCGGTGGGTTCTGCTTGTTCTTCGCCATGGTGCCTCTGTTAACTTTTATCTTGATGGAATTAGTGCCCAACTTGATGCTGACCACTTCGGTCTTGATCAGATCAAGCGCCGACTCATTGAATATCTTGCAGTGCTTAGACTGCGTGCAGTAACGGAGGCTGCGTCGCAAGCATCAGTGTCCCAACAACCGATGTTGCAACTGGCCGCAGCGTCTGCCCAGTCCGCTGATCGAAACTGTGCAAGGAAAGGCGTCAAGGGGCCCATTTTACTGTAGGTTGGATGTTGTGTACGTTCTGCGGATAGTAACAACTTGTTTCTTGACAGGTTCGTGGGTCCACCGGGAACTGGCAAGACCTCTCTTGGTCAGTCAATCGCTAAGGCGTTAGGCAGACCTTTCCAGCGCATATCTTTGGGTGGAGTAAGAGACGAGGCGGAAATAAGGTAATTTATCACTCACCCGTGAGAGCGTCGTGATGTAACCCCCTTTCGCAGGGGTCATCGAAGAACATATGTCGCTTCTGGGCCGGGAATGATTGTCCAAGCACTGAGGAAAGCGGGTCGTATCGACCCGGTGATTCTCCTGCAAGTTCATTGTTTGCTTGCACTTTCTATCCCTCAAGAGCTAACTTGGGTGATCATACAGAGATGAGATTGATAAAGTTGGTCAAAGTAATTTTCACGGTGATCCAGCTGCTGCCTTGTTGGAAGTGTTGGACCCAGAACAAAACCACGCATTCAATGTGAGGACGTTTCTGGCTGTCTTATATATATATATATATTTATATTTATATCGTATTTTGCAGGACCACTACATCAATGTCCCAGTTGACCTCAGTCGGGTTCTCTTTATCTGCACGTGCAATGCACTCGATTCAATCTCTGCTCCACTCCTCGACCGGTGCGAGGTAGTCGAGTTATCAGGTGAGAAGAAGAGCAGCGTTTTTACACACTTACCATTCCTTTGCAGGCTATACATATGACGAGAAGATCAATATTGCCCGACGGTATCTCTTGCCAAAGCAACTCAGGGCTAACGGTTTGTCGGAATCATTACTAGCCTTAACGGATAGTGCTCTTCTTCGCATTGTCACGCTCTATACCCGCGAAGCAGGGGTACGAGGTCTCGAACGAGCTCTCAGCTCCGTTGCACGTTTCAAGGCTGTGGAATGGGTGAACCATCTCGATAGCATTGCTGGGACAGAACGAAGCGATACCGTGCCCAAGGGGTGGCAAAGTGTGGTCAAAGAAGAGGACATTCAGAGAATCCTTGGCGTCCCTCGCTGGGACGGTGAAGAACGTGAACGAGAAGAGAAAATCGGTGTTGTATATGGGCTTGTCGTGACTGGTATGGGAGAAGGGGGGTTAATGCCTGTGGAGAGCACAGCAGTGCCTGGTTCTGGTCACTTGAAGTTGACCGGCAGTCTTGGAGACGTCATCAAGGAGAGCGGAGAGATAGCACTGAGCTGGGTCAAGGCACATGCATTTGACCTTGGCATTACAGCTGGGAAGGGTATTGATCCCTTGAAAGTGCCCGATCCTATTGATATTCACCTTCACCTTCCTGCTGGTGCACAGAAAAAGGATGGTCCAAGTGCAGGAGTGGCAATGGTGAGACGTCTTATGCCGGCTATTCCTTGTAATTTATTCCAGGGGCTTTGTAGACATGTGCTTTGGTGTCGTTGCTGACAGGTGTTATGGCACCGAAGGATATGGCAATGACCGGTGAGGTAAGGTCTCTGTCGATTGTGGTACGGCTCTATTTGACTGATCCAGATAACGCTTCGTGGTCGAGTTACACCGGTTGGTGGTATAAGGATGAAAGTGCTTGGTGCACATCGTGCCAAAGTTCAGAAGATTATTCTACCATGGGCGAACAAAAGAGAAGTTGAACATGAGGTTGCACTTGAAGTTCGGCAGCAGATGCAGTTTCATTTTGTGCAAACCATTGATGAGGCACTCGAAGCTGCATTTGGTAAGGGCGTGTTAGGATGGAAGAGGGAGGTAATGGTGATGGAGAGCCGGCTTTGATGCACAGTCAATCCTGTTGGTGATCTGGTTCATATCTCACTGCTTATTGTACTCTACTTGTATGTAATGGCTGCTGTCCTTGATACATATATCAGTTGGGAATCACCTTGCTTGAAGGGCAGGATTTCTGGCAGGTGGGAACAGAGTGCTGGGGATTGCTACTTGTATGCCACTTGTCAAAACCAGTTCTCCTCAGTCTACTAGGGGGCCAGAGGGTCAAGGGATGGAACCCAAAGGCTGAGGGTGGTGATAGCTGGAGGCCAAAGGTAGGGATTACTGGAGGCCAGGTGGTTGTCACATCCATGACTCTTGGACTCAAGTCTGGCCCAGTCAAGTCTGGACCTAGCTGTCCAGTCAAGCAACTCTGGCCCTAAGTAACCCAATGCCAGCCTACATAACTCAAGCCTGGTGTTTTACCCCTATCTCTGGTCTGCTCTGGCCTCTCAGCCTTGCACTGCTCCACCCTGGTCCTCCCAGGTCCATGTCCAGGTCACCTGGACATAACTCTGGTCTGTTTTCCAATGTTTGTGCTATATTTAGTTTAGTCCTTTTGCCTGATCTCTGCTTACCATATGAAACCTGTGTCTGACTCCAGTTAAGCCAGTCACCCAGGCTTTGACTATTAGGTGTGGCTGTCCACCCCTTGCTAACCATCTTGCTAATAGCTTATTAACAAGTCTGGCTCTATTACCCTTATCTTACCCATGTCTGGCAATTTTGTTTACATTTATTTGGGTCTACTGTGTAGTGGTTGGCATTTTTAAAGTACACATGGGCTTTTTGGGGTTGGTTTCAAGCCCATGCACCTGGTTAGGCCATATGAGATGGTCAGTGGAGGTTGAGCCCATGTATGGCTTGTGCACATGTGTTACATGAGAGCCATGAACCTATTGTCACCTTGTAGTATGGGAGAGCCCAACTGATGAGTGTCACCATGTAGTACAGCTGAGCCTGAGAGGAAATGTTGTCATGAGGAATGGTGCAGCTGTGGTTTGAATTGTCATTGTCAGTTACAAGCAGGCTGGGGAGTAAGTGTCATCATGGACTATGGGAGAGCCCAATAAATGCATGTCACCATAGCATACAGCTGAGCCCAAGAGTAGGAGTCATTATGGAGGTTGGCTGGGCAGAGGTTAGAATTGTCATCATGGGGTACAAGCCAGCTGTGGGATTCACATAGTGTAGTCACATTTAGTCACAACACATGGGCAGCCTGTGTGCCAAAACACCAATGCTCATATAGACCCTGAGACAGGCCTGCCTAAATAGATTAGCCAGTACACATGGACAGGCCCAAGGGACTAAAGTGAGAGCAACACATCACAACATATGGATGGGCCCATCAGTAATCTCATGTAATATGGATGGGCCCATCAGTAATCTCATGTATAGCATCACAACATATGGATGGGCCCTTCAGTAGTATTATTTATATCATCACAACATATGGGCAGGCCTGGCCCCAGTAGGATGTACCCTGTTGAAACATAAAGACAGGCCTGTCACTAATATCATTTAATAGAGTCACAACATATGGGCAGGCCTGGCCCCAGTAAGATGTACCCTGTCGAAACATAAAGACAGGCCCATCACTAATATCATTTAATAGAGTTGCAACATATGGACAGGCCCTTCAGTAATATTATTTATATTGTCACAACATAGAGACAGGCCTGTCAGTAATCTCATGCATAGCATCACAACATATGGGTGGGCCTGGCCCCAGCAAGATGTACCCTGTTGAAACATAAAGCCAGGCCTGTCACTAATATCATTTAATAGAGTCACAACATATGGACAGGCCCTTCAGTGATATTATTGATATTGTCACAACATAAAGATGGGCCTGTCAGTAATCTCATGTATAGCATCACAACATATGGACAGTCCCTTCAGCAGATTTATTTATATTGTCACAACATATGGGCAGGCCCAGCCCCAGTAAGATGTACCCTGTTGAAACATAAAGATGGGCCCATCAGTAATGCTGTTTAATAGCATCACAACATAAGGATGGGCCCTTCAGTAGTATTGTTTCTATTGTCGCAACATATGGATGGGCCCATCAGTAATATCATCTAATAGCATCACAACATAAGGACAGGCCCTTCAGTAGTATCATGTATATCATCACAGCAAATGGACAGGCCCATCTAGCAAGATGCACCCCTGTTGCAACATAAGGATGAGTTTGTGTATGGTATTCTTAGGCAGCAGAAAGGGAGATCCAAGCTATCTACATAAGGATGGTCCATGTAAGGCATTCTCAGGCAGCAGAAAGGGAGATCAAAGGGATCTACATAAGGATGGGCCCATCCATGGTATTCTCAGGCAGCAGATAAGGGAAAACAAAAACCAGTGTTACAACATAAGATGGGCTGATCTGTCCATCACAGGATTACAAACCCTTGGCACTGCATAAGACAGGCCAATCCATCATATCATAGATAGCTCACCACAAATGGATGGGCCTATCCATAATTGGGTTATCCCCCTGTCACAATATAAGACAGGCCCAGGAAGACAAGAAATGAAGAAAGTGGAACCTCTCGCACTATAGAGTATCTGAATTTCCTACTATAAATTGTGTTTCATGTTGGATGATTTGCCTATTTAGTTGGAATCTCAGGCGCTGGTCTATGTAGCTGCAAGCCAGGCTCTGCCATTGGAGCAGACAGGAAACATGCAAAACAAACAGCAATGCTATTCCAGAACAATGCATTGTATTTTTATCTGAGCTTCTGCTTCATATATGCATTCAGGATTATTGACTTGTAGTACCAGTATTGCTGTCATGCTGTGGGAATCATTCATAGGCAGGATAAAAAATGTGACATCCACATATCTCATTGTCTGTCTTTAACCTTTGACTCTTCCACTCTCCAATCACCATCACCACTCTCACCATCAAACTACTCCATTGTCTCATCATCAGAAACATGTTGTTGTCATTGTCTTGCAAGCTCTTCAAGGAATTGCCTGAGCTTGATGCTGTGGCCAACTGCATCCTTCAAATTTACTTCAAGGATATCACAGAAAGCAGCAAGCTGGGAAAGGTGGACAAGATTGTGAAGTGGAGAGGTGCCATCAAGGTGATAAACAATGAACTAGTGTGTCATAGCATCATCACATTTTTTTCACTAACTGATGCATTCAGGACACTGTACACGACCTCATTGCTAGGATGGATGAGATTCTGATGACCCTCATCAGCAGTTGACATGTTCTTAAAGTGGCATGAAGACCTCAGCTCAATTGAGCACCTGTGGCCTGAGTGGAAGACTGCCCTATCCCCTTCCAAAACCAACATCGCCAACCACAAGTGGCTTGACATCATCAAGCATCAATATGACTACCACTGGTTGGGCCTCCCTATTCCCTGTGTTGTGCCAACACCAACACCACCTGCTCAAGAGACCAAAATGCCTATGAGCAACAAAGGAAAATGGAAAGCAACTGAGGCAGAGGTGGAGCAAATGATAGCAGATAGCTTGCACAGGATGGAGGTGGATGATGAGGGTGAAGATGAGGTTCCAGAGAAGGAGGATGATGAGGAAGAACCAGCATGAGGCAGGCAGAAGTGCAAAGCTGCTGTGAAAACGACATCCCATTGATCCAGACATCAATCCCACTCTAGGAAGGCAACAGCAGAAACTGACAATGATGAAGATGTTCCTGCTCAAGGCCAATCAAAATGCAAGCCTCGTCCACTGTTGGATGGACTATATGGTCATGCTGCCATAGCTGCCAGAAGGACACCTTCCCCTGACCCCCATTCCTGCAACTTGTGCTGCAGATGCAAGGTCTGATGCTACAAGAACCCCAGGAAGTCCTGCTTCCCATGTGACAGTTGCAAAATTTGATGTAGCCATGCCAAAGGTGGGATTGCTGCTCCAACTCAATGGAATCCATCATGAGCTAGGGGAAAAAAGTGAGCTCAAAGTCTGTCCCCAACAATGGAGACCCAAGAATCCCAAAGTCCAAAGGAACATCCCCCAAAGCAACATGTGTCAATGGCTTCCAAAGCCATCAATGCTGGGGTTGGGCCCTCCAACCAGGGAGAGACAATCCCCAAGGGATCTTCACTCAGTATGTTCACAATTTCATGTATTTACACTGACTCAAATTTTATTTAGAGATTTGCATTCCTGCATTCAAACACAGGGATTCCTGCCCAATCCCAGCCACTGTATGAGTGGATTTGATCGTTGAGGCTGGCCCATCTGTTGTGCAGGAGGTAGAGGGATCTACAGCAGCAGGTACATTTAAT